GCCGCCCACCCCCTCTCCCAGGGCCCACAGTGGACTCCAGAGGGGCTTTCGTCTGCAGAGCACTTTCCACCAGCAGAGCCTTTGGAAGCTCCCCCGGGGAGCCCCACCCAGGGCCCTTTGGGGGGATGCCTCAGTCAGGGCCAGGTGACCCTGGGCCCCTGCTTCTCTTAGCCCCCTCAGTCTCCTGACACTGGAGGAATACTTTTTCTCCTAAGTCTACCCTGGACACTTTTTAGGGCGTCTGGAGAGAACTTTCCTCTCCACCATGGCCCCTGTGTGGTGAAGATCAAAAGAAGTTGTTTGGGAAAAAAAAGTTTATTAAAAAATTCTATTATTTTATCTCCTGTAAGATGTATTGGCTCAAGACCCCAAAAACTGGATGAGGTCTTAGAACCGTAAGGGTTTCGGGGCAGGAGGGTTCGAGAGGGGAAAGCCATCCCATGCTGTCAGAGAGCTTCCTGCTGGCTGGCGCTGGTGTGTGCTCTCCCATGATGAGTCCAAGGAAGAGTGGGGTCACACCATGTACCAGCGGGGTCGGTGACGTCTGTCGGCCAAGAGTGGGTGCTGACAGCGCCCTGTCTCATGTGTCCAGGGGAAGCAGCTACAGCCAACCCTAAGTTGTCTGGCGCCTGAGGAACCGAGCCAGGAGAAGGCCTCAAGCCTGGTTAATGGTACCCTGTTCTTTCAGGAACCGTCTCCTGCAAGGAGTCACTTAAACACTCCTGGTCACAACCAGCTCAAACATGCCTTTGGGTAAATGTGACAAAGGCATTTCTTCCTCAGGGACACACAGTCCCAAGCCAGGGTAAACACCTTACTGAACAGTGACTAGGGTTGGATTTCAGTTCACACTCCCCCCTTGGCTGAGTGCCCTTGTGCAGTGCACTGCCTGCACAGCTGTACACAGTACCCCTGTAGACATGAGGTCTCTCCCTCTTGCCTCCTGTGAGGTGGAAGCTATCAGAGACGGACAAGGTCAGAGAAGCAGTTCTGCCAGCAGCCTAGAAGAGAGACCTAGGTGCTAGAGTGATCAGAGGGACAAGAATCCCAAGTTGGGGTGCCTTACTGGCTTGGGGTATGGGCAAAAGCTTCATCTTTCTGGTGTATGGAGTTGAGGCTGGGCACAGGGAAGAGTCCGGTCTAAGATGGAATTGGGGTGGGGTTCAGTTGTGGGTCTAGCATGAGCAGGGTGGCTCTTGCCTGTAATTCCAGCTACTCAGGAGGCTGAGGTGGGAGGATCGCTTCAGGCCACGGTTTTGAGACCAGCCTGGGCAACAGAGCAAGACCTCATCTCTAAAAAAGTTGTTTTTTTAAAGAATCTAGTTTGGGCAGTGGGGATAGAAAGATGCTAAGGCTTGAGGAGGTGGCATGCTGAGATTCTGTGACTCTGGCCAGGGAAGTCAGAGGATGGTGAGAGAGGCAGAATGGGAAGGAGTAAACATCGGAGGCCCAAGGCAGTGGATTTCAGAGAAGGGTGTAGGAGGGTGAGGGGACAGTGAGAGCAGTTGGTCAGGAGCCTCAGGAGCTCGGAGTCTGGGGTCTTGCCGGGGCCTGCATCAGGCCGGCTCTGAGGAGGCGAGTGGCTTGGACCAGGGGCCAGTCAGGCAAGAGCTCTGCTGGGGGAGGGGCTGCTGGGGCCTGGGCAGGGGGAGGAGGGATGCTGGTAAATCAGAGGCAGGCTGTCCAGGTCACAGAATTATGGTTGTGAAATATTCATGGGCCCTCGGTCCAGATGCTATTTCAGAACAGCGAGAGCAGGAGAGTGCGAGCCTCAGGAAGAAGCCGAAAGCATCGCCAGCCCCCACCTCCCCCACCCCCAGCCCAGACAGACCCACGGACGCCCATCACGTGCACACCCACGCTCTCGCGCTCTCACTCGCACACACGGCGCGCTACGCAGCACGTGCAGGCACGCCAGCCACCCACGGGCCCCACAAACAGGCAGATGCCCCCCAAATCCTGACATGCACGCACAACCTCCTAAGCGGACCGGGTACAGAGACCGCCTCCGGAGATCTCACGCGCAGAGATCCCCCACCCCCACCAGGCTCTCCAAACCCAGATTGACAGCTCGGAGCCACACACCCTGCAATAGGAAGGACGTTCAAGGCCATCTCGTCCGACCCCCACTGATGGGGAAACTGAGGCCAGAAAGGGAAAGGGACTTGCCTGAGACTCCCCCACCCCCTGCAAGAAACAGAACTCATTCACCTCCCACATTCTGTGAGTGCACCCCCCCTGCATTCTGCCAGACACCCAGCCTTGTTGTTGTGACCCCTCCCTTTCACCAATTTCCTATAACTATTCCATTACCCTGTCCTCCGCCTGGCCCCAACCCATCCTTTCCTTCCCATTCCCCCCACCAGCTCCCTGCTCCAGCGACTCATTACCTCATGCCTGGAATATAAAAGAAAATAGCAATAACCTCCTCACTGGTTTCCCACACCCAGTCTCTCCCTCCCACCCAGCCTGCCCATGGAGACCAGATTCATCTAAGCAAAATTTGCATATGGCGTTATGTTACTCAGGAGCCTGCCATAACATCCTGTTGCCTACAGGTTAAAGGTAAAACACCTTAGCAACGCATCAGGGATCCTTCAGTGTCTGGTTCCAACTGCTTTGCTAGACTTTTCTCTCCTGGGCTGGTCCCAAACCTTCACTCCGGCCGAAATGTTTGTATCCTACTGGCTGTCAGTTATTATGTACATGAAACCCACAAACCTACTTTGAACGCTCCCTAAAATTTCTCAGTCTCCCCCAAACTCAAAAGCCTCTCCCCCCTGCTCAGATCACAGACCCCAGGGCCCTACCCAAGGTCATGACCGCACCCCTCTGACCATACACAGGGGTTCTTCACTGCCCTTCAAAGTGGTTGAGTGAGGCTCAGTCCCTGGCTTCTCCAGGCAGACGGCTGCCCCTCACTGGCCACCTTGGGAAGCACAGGCAGGCCTCCGTGATCTGGAACTGAGAATGAGCATCGAACCGCCTGGGCAGAGGAATAGGTGGACGCCAGATGACACGGTGTATAAGCCCTTAAGCCTCTAAGGTTCTTACACCGGAGTGGGGCACTGGGCGGGCGTGCAGGGAGCGTTCTTGGCCCTGCTCTGGGAGCAGCTGCCCCCCAGCTTCAGATCCCTAATGCATGAGATGGCTCCTCTCCTGTGAAATACAAAGACTCGGGCTCCCAGGACACCATGGAACAGAAAGTTGCCCACCAGACTCTGAGAGGCCACGAGGCCAGGAGAGTCCAGGTGGCAGGCCCAAGGTCCAGCCAGGGTCATGTTTCCACATGAATTTTTAATGCTTCCAGCCAGACCCATCAGATGTTCCGAAACCTGAGTGGCTCCTTTTGTCTCTCTACAGGATGCCCTTCCCTATCCCTGTTGCCCCTGGGGCCTGGGGCCAGGAGGGCAGGCCTGGGGCAGTTACCCAGGAGCCCCTGGAGAAATGGAGGCAGTGGGAGGATGAATGACCTAATTCTTCTCCCAGTGACTGACTGTGTGACCTTGGCAGGTTACTTAACCTCTCTGAACATCAGTTTTGTTTTTTCTTTTGGAAGCGGAGGGGGTGACAGTGTCTGTCTGAGTTGAGTTGTTGTGGGGAGTGAGTGCGATAGCCCATGGAAAGGTGACCTGCATGTTTGTTTGTTACTATTATCTTTCTTCAAGTCCTGCCTCCTGCGTTTGGCTTTTTTCCAACCCCAGAGATGTCAGTGGCACTTTCTTCAAAGATGGGACTTTGGTTGGCTCGGCTGTCCCCTGCTCAGGCCTAAACAACCCACCTCAAGATCCTAGGAACTTCAGATGAGGAGGGGACAAGGAGACAAGAAAGCGGGTGAGGCTGGTGGAGTGAGAGAGGAAGATGGATGGGAAGGCTAAGCAGGGGGGAGGAAGTGGGCAGAAGGGTGGGGGGACCCTGCTCAGAGAAGAGCCAGGCACAGAATCCTCTGGCTTTCTCCCTTTCCCCTTCTTCTCTTCTTCCCTCCCTCCCACCTTTGTTCCCGCCTCTTTCTTCTTCCTCCTCCCTCATTCTTCCCCTCCTCCCTCTCTCCCTCGCTTCTTTCCCTCTTCCTTCCTCCTCCCTCCCTCCTCTCTTCCTTCTTCCCTCCCTCCTTCCCTCTTCTCTCCTTCCTTCCTTACTTCCTTTCCTCCTCTGTTTATTCTCCCCTCCCTCCTTCCTCCCTCCCACCTTTTCTATGTCTGGTACCATCACACAGAAGCAGAGATGGCTATACCGAGCAGAGGTGAGGTCATGAAGCATGGGGGGGTGCTGTCAAAGGAGACTTGCCCAATCCCCCCAGCCCACCAACCCCTTACCTGGTTGCTAAAAAATGACAATAAAAGAAGGGTCTTTTGCGTCTGAGGCTCAGACCTGCGGAATCAGATCACTACGGAGCCCTGGAATCTTCATTTTAGCAAGTGGAGGTGGGTTAAGTACTCTAAAGTTCCGGACACGACTCCTCAGAGGTGAGGTGGTCCTTGGGGGGCACAAAGCAGAATGCACGGGCAGAAAACTTGAACTTGGTGGAAGATACAGAGCGTGGAGAGCTTGAAGAGGGGATGGGGAATGAAGGACGGAGGAGGCAAAGCGGGGAGACCAAGCAGATGGGGGAGGGAAGCTGCAGCCAAGCAGTGGGAAGGGAAACACACCTGCAAGGTGCGCCCCGCCCTCCCTTCCTGGCGATCTGAGTCGCCAAACTTCCGGACCCGGGATGTGGAGACCCTGAGGCATCCCGAGCCCCGTTTCCGGGCCGAGGGTCCGAGAGGGAGGCTCTCAGGCCCAGGTGCCAGCCCCTCCCGGAGGGTCAGAGAGGGAGCCTCTCAGGTCGGGAGCCAGCCCCCGCCGGAGGGTCAGCGCGCGGGTATCTGGATACACACCAATCACTCCCCCGGCGGGGGCTGGGCGGGGGTGCCCGCCCTCCCCTGGGAGCCCGGCTGGGGTCCAGCCCACGTCAGACCTTCTACCCCCAGCCCCCCGTCCCAGCTCATCTGCATAAAGCTCCAATTAACACGTTTTTCCTTTGCAATCCGCGATCCCGGAATTCGCTCCCAGCCGGGGAGCCCACACCCCGCCGCCCCCTCGCCCCTGGGATCGCGGCCCCCTTAACCCTCGCGACCCGGGCCGCTCCCTGTGGCCTGGGCCC